ATATAATATCGGTATCGCACAGAAGAGAAGGAAGGTAATCGCGCACAAGACGGGAAGGAGATAAGCAGTGCGATTGTTACCGATAATAAGAAATGGGTCGGGTACTCCTTGGAATTGGGCTTATGGATAAATGGGCCAATACCAACAAATTGGTATTGGCAACTTGCTAGAGATAGAAGTATGAGAGTAATTAGGAGAACTGCTGATAGTATGCCTGATTATGCTTTCCATTTGTGTGATACTTCTATGTTTGCTTTCTCTGTGTTTGAGACCCTTGAGCTTAACGAACCTAGAACCTATAGAGAGGCCCTTAAGTCTAATGAGTCCGCTAAATGGCTTTGCGCCATGGAAAATGAGATGGAGTCACTTAGAGCGAATAAGACTTGGACGTTAGTTCCTAGACCGCCCAATAGTTCTGTTGTTGCCTGTAAGTGGCTATTTAAGGTTAAGGAAGAGCCTAACGACATTAGATATAAGGCTAGGTTAGTAGCTAAGGGATTTACTCAAAAGGAAGGTGTTGATTATGCTGAAATCTTTGCTCCTGTAGTTAAATTTACTACGATTAGAATGATGCTTGCTCTTGTTGCTCATAATGATTGGGAAATGAAGCAAATGGACGTCACCACTGCATTTTTGCATGGTGATTTAGATAAGAAAATCTATATGTCGCAGCCTGAGGGCTTTGTGGATCCCATGAAGAGTGATCATGTGTGTTTGCTTAGGAAGGCCTTGTACGGCCTGAAGCAGTCCCCGAGGCAGTGGAATATCAAATTTGACCAGTGCATGTCATCTTTGAAATTTCACAAGTCCGAATGCGACCATTGCCTATACTTTAAAAATACTTCTTCTGTGCCTGTATTTTTATTGCTATATGTTGATGATATGTTGATTGTGAGTCCTTCGGGTGACGCCATTAAATGTGTGCAAAAGCGTCTCAATGAGAACTTTGCTATGAAAGACCTAGGTGATGCCAAAAGGATCCTAGGCATTAACATTGTTAGGGATAGGAGTAAGCGTGTGTTAGTTCTCAATCAGATTTCATACATTGAAAAGATTTTGAGTAAATATAACATGCATTCCGCTACTCCCGTTTTTATCCCGATGGCATCCCACTTTGTGTTAAGTAAGGATCAGTCTCCCAAGACTGCTCCTGAAATTGCTCAAATGAAATCTGTGCCTTATTCCAATGCTATTGGGTCCGTGATGTATCTCATGGTGAGTACTAGACCCGACATTGCCTATGCTGTTAGTTGCTTGAGTAGGTATATGTCTAATCCTGGTTAAGATCATTGGAATGCTCTTAAGTGGTTGCTTAGGTACTTGAAATCTTCTGTTAATCATGGGTTGGTTTTCACTAGGTGTTCAGAGGGGGTTAAGTTGAGTGGGTATGTGGATTCGAATTTTGCTAATGATAGAGACAATAGGAAATCCACTACCTCTTATGTGTTTACCCTTTGCGGGTCGTGCATTAGTTGGAAGTCTCAACTTCAACCCATAGTTGCCCTTTCCACCACTGAATCTGAGTATGTGGCCGCTACCGAAGCGTTTAAGGAAGCCATTTGGCTTAAACGTCTCCTAACGGAGATTGGTAGTCTTAAGCAGGATATTTGTGTGTTTTCTGATAGTCAATCTGCTATTCAATTGTGTAAAAATCTTGTTTTTCATGATAGAACTAAGCACATTGATGTTAGATTTCATTTTATACGTGATATTGTTAGTGCAGGTCATATCAAGTTGATTAAAATTCCATCGGAATTTAATCCTGCTGACATGGGGACTAAATGTCTCTCTGTCGAAAAGTTGTTGTCGTGCAAACGCACGTTAAACATTGATTGCGGATAAGTTGCCTGGTGATCTTACCTCTTTTGCCTGAATATGTCTTTGTGATTATTCGGGCAATCAAGCGATGATGAGTCTCAAATTGTTTTAGAGCGTTGTGCTCTACACCACTAGGGTCCAATAAGGTGGAGAATTTGTTGGTATTGGCCCATTTATCCATAAGCCCAATTCCAAGGAGTACCCGACCCATTTCTTATTATCGGTAACAATCGCACTGCTTATCTCCTTCCCGTCTTGTGCGCGATTACCTTCCTTCTCTTCTGTGCGATACCGATATTATATTCTTTCCTTACTGATCGGTTACCTTGTATGGTTTATTGAGCTCTACCTATTTATTCCTCCCTTGATTGCTGCGATGAGAGTTGGCCGAACCCTTTTCCCTTCTTCTCCTCTGTGGACGAATTGAAGTAATTGGCAGGATAGATTAGTAGGTTGATGCCCAATTTTCCCCTTTAGATCCTAGTGTGTGATATTCATTCTTTGTGGATGAAATAGACGAGACCTGAGCTGGAAGATAGTCCGAATAACAGTGTGTACATGTCACATACATTATTTTAACTAAATAAATATATATTATTTTTAATAAAGAACATTTTTGTATCATTTTCATATTAATATATTATCAATATTATCGTTCATAAATATATAATCAATCAAAGTTCTTTGACTTAAGTCAAATTTGACAAAATAAAAAGGGACCGAACAAGTATAAAAAAAGATCAGCTGTCACAAAATGAGCACTTTTTGATCATAAAAACAAAACAATTATATTGATATCATTAGAAATCGGATCGTTACAACAATTCAAAAAGAGTAAATTATATGGTACAGCCGGTTGTACCATGGGCATGGTACAGCCGGTTGTAGTCGTTGTACCATGTGCATGGTACACTCGGTTGTACCATGGGCAAGGTACAACCGGCATTTTTGTAAATAGTTACAACTTTAAGGGTTATACTGTTAGTTACCGTAGCTCTTTTATTTCCGCATTCGTTTTCTCTTTAGCCGGCGGCATTCTTCACTCTTTTGATTATCTTCGTTTTTTTCTTTAGCCACACTCTTTTGAAGTTTTGATTATCTTTCTATCGTGGCTTCTCCTTTCATTGTTTTTGTTTTTATTTTTATGGTTTCTTCTCCTTTATTTGTTTGTGTTTTTCTTTAGCAAACTTTCAATTTAATTTTATATTCAATTATTATGAAAATATATAATATAAAATGTTTTACAAAATATTATTAATTGTCCCAGTTTTTTTTCAATCAACTTTTGAACTTAATTTTTTTTCGAACTTATGTATTATAAAATATTTTAGATATTAATGTTTATTTTTTCTATTATTAATTTAGAATGAATATGCATTATTTTATTAAATATTGTGTGTTAATTACTATCATGATTGTTGTTTTATACTAAAATGAGTAGTGTTAAATAATATGCATGGGTAAACATTATAAAAAGAACGCGATTATATTTGTAATTCGAGAAATAAAGACTATAAACTATTTTTAATACTATATTTGTCATTACTATATTTGTTATATTCGAATGAGTATAACAATTAAAAGAAACAAACACACAATGAATATTTGAGCACATATTAGAGAGTTCAAATGAGCTTTTTAATTTTTTGATGCTCATTTTGTAAGTTACATATGCTCATCTGGTAAAGTTTTTATGTTCATTTTAAAATGTTAAATTAATGCATATTTCAAAATATCATATTACATTACAATCGTATAAGAGTTGATTACATATAATACACTAGGGCAAAGATCATGATACTCTATTGCATGCTTTTAATACTTAATAGAGGAAGTTTGATGCTCAATGAAAATGTCTTGATGTTCAACTAACCGAGTTTACGATTTTCATATCAATGCTAGCTTATTGTGTAAGTTACATATGCTCATTTGATACTGATGTTATGCTCATTTTAAAATGTCATATCAATACATTAGATTTTCATATGGAAGTTGATTATAGATATGGGAGCACAAACCATGATATCATTGCATGTTCTAATACTCAATAGAAGAGATTTGATGCTTAATGAAAATGTCTTGATGCTCAACTAAAAAAACACTTGTGATTTTCATATCAATACTCATTTTGTAAGTTAAGTATGTTCGATTGATACTCATGATATGCTCATTTTTAAAATGTCATAACAATGCATATTTCAAAAGTGTCATATTACATTAGATTTGCATATTAAAAGTTATGGTTAGGCTGATTTATTGTTGCTCTTTGTTTTTCTGTTGCTCTTTATTTTTTACGTATGTTAAATTCAGTGAGTATAAAACTTGAAAGGAATTGAGCAAACAAAAATGTATACTTGAGCACACTATGAGCCCGTTTGGAGAACTCTGTTTTCGGCTTATCAGGCTTATCAGCCAGCTTTTTTACCAAACACGTAACTTTTACTTTCGCGCGCTGAATTGTGTAATAAGCCGAAAAAGTAAGGTTGGAGTTACTTTTCTGGCTGTATTGGCTGAAGTTACTGTAGAGGACCATTTTAGCTATTTTTACATATAATTTTTTCTTTAATTTATTAATAAAATATATTTTTAAAATATTTTTTTCTTAAATCAGCAGAATCAGCCAAAACAGCCACTCCAGCCAGAATATCATAAATTTCAGCAGAATCAGCCAGAACAGCCGATTTTGGTGCTACCAAACGGGCTCTATATAAATGTATACTCAATTGACGCCGAGTAATACTTCAACGACGGACGCTACTTCTTTCCAATTCATTTGCTTAATTTGAATCCTTTTAAATTTATAGATATCCTTTACGACAGCTAAAAAAGAAATTTTTTATACTCATTTTATAAGTTATTTATGCTCATTTATTAATGATAAATGCTCATTTGAAAATGTCATATTAAAGCATATTTAAAAAATATCATATTCATGGATCAAAAAGTCGCCCTAGGCGGCCCCTAGGCGCCGCCTAGGCGTTAGTCGGCAGCCAACTGTGGCGAGTAAGGCATAATCGGGCTAAGAAGTCGGACCAGCGATTAATCGGGCGCCTAACCCGCCTAGGCTTTCAAATCGCCCAAATCGCCATAATGGGCTAGGCGGCCCAAAACTTTATTTTCGCTGATGAGCCCTTTTCATTACCCTGTACGCCTAATCTTTGTAATTTGACATATTTCTTCTTCTGATTTGGCGGCCGGGCACTTTCGATTTACGACCTTCCTTCTTCATCTCAACGCACAAGTTGTTCTATTGTCGGTCCTCTTCAATTACCTGGGAGCCAGCACTGTCTAAGGAGTTTTGAGAACAACCTGCCGCAGCTCACAAGTAACACCCTCTCTTCATTTTTTCTTCTATCAAGAAATATTCGAATATATGATTTGTGTTTTACAGTTCAACGAACTTGATTGGAATTGATACAAAGCTGATATTGCACCCGAAATGGATGCTCTATAATGACTGATGCATGGACCGATAGAAAAAAGAGAAGCATAATGAATCTGTGTGTTAACTGTAAGGAGGGTACATGCTTTCTTTCTTCCAAAGATGTTTCTACTGAATCTCATACAGGTGAATACATATTTGATTATGTTGATAAATGCATTGAAGAAGTTGGCCCAGAAAATGTTGTCCAAGTTGTAACAGACAACGCTACCAACAATGTATTGGCTGCCAAATATTTGAAGGAGAAGAGACCTCACATTTTCTGGATTGGATGTGCTGCCCACACCATTGATCTCATGTTGGAAGGCATTTCAAAGTTGGCCAGATTCAAGAAAGTTATTGATCAAGCAAAAAGTCTCACCATCTTTATTTATGCTCATCACAAGACCTTGGCAATGATGAGAGCTTTTACTAAGAAAAGAGATATAGTGCGGCCGGGAATCACAAGGTTTGTGACTTGTTTTTTGACTTTGCAAAGCTTGCTTGAAAAAAAAAACTCAAATAAAGTCTATGTTTGGTAGTGATGAGTGGGAAGAATGTAGTCATTCAAAATCTGCCAGGGGAAAAGTTTCTTTAGCAACCGTCATGAGTACAGCATTTTGGAGTTCATTAAGTTTATGCTTAAACATTTATGCTCCCTTGGTGAATGTTCTTCGGTTTGCAGATGGGGATAAGCCTACTATGGGTTATATTTATGGAAAAATTCTTGATGCTAAGAACTCCATCAAAGAAGCTAGTAATAATCTAGAGAAAAATTATAAGCCTATTTTTGACATAATTGATGAAAAGATGAAAGACAGGCTTGATAGTCCATTGCATCTAACTGCCTACCTATTGAACCCTTATTACTTCGATCTATAAGGATGTTAACATTCAATTGGATGGAGTGGTTATGGATGGGTTCCTCAATTGTGTTGAGACCTTTTATCATGGAGGCTTTGACAAACAACATGAAGTTGTCAATAATGAGATCAATGTTTACAAGAGCAAAGGAGGACATTTTGGAAGAGCATTGGCGATAAAAGGATTGCAATGGAGCCAAAGATTCATTATTTTTTGGCTTGAGAATATGATGGAATAAAGCAAAATGGCTCTCTAAACTGTCTGCTCTTCTTTGTTATGAAGCAGCCGCCAGTCCATGCAATTTTGGACGCGATTTTCACTATGGGTCATCCGGAAACAGTCTCTCTGTGCTTTAGTACAGGGGTAAGACCGCGTACATCCGACCCCCCCTTACCCCAATGTAGGTGGGAGCCTTTGTGGCACTGGGGTAAATGAAAATGAAAATGATTGGCGATAAAAGGATGTCAACAAAATGATGGAAAGTTTGATCCAGGTTTGTCAATTAATTTTAACTTAAATAATTGTACTGATGTCAAAAAAAATTGTACTTGTTGCATCATGCATCTTACTGTTGTTGTGTTATACTTTACACTTTGAATTCACATGTACTAAAGCATGTACTAGCTTCGTATTATTATGCATCAGTTTCATTACTTTCATATGTGATTGGGATTGCCTTCTATGAAATATGAACTGTCTGCTATGTGAATGAAATGAAGCATGCATACTTATTTTTATTCCATTCATTTTCCCCTGCTACTATGCATCTTTAAGTATGAACTATCTGCTATTATGCATCTTTAAGCATAATATTTCACTTTGAACTTGTGTTATAAGCATTATTATTTCAATCATGAGTGAAAATGTCTGCTACTATGCATCAGTTTCATTACTGTTGTGTTATACTTTACACTTTGAACTTGTTGTTGTAGGCAACTTAATGTAAGGCAGAGTTTGATTTTTTGGGGTGATAGTGTAAAACTTGAGTTCAAGACTAAATTCACTTGTATGGCTTAGAGCATGTACACTTCTTTTTATCAATTTAGTTCAAGACTGAATTCACTTGTACTCAAGCATGTACTGGCTTCATATTATTGTGCATCAGTTTCATTACTTTCATATGTTTTTAGGATTGGCTTTTAAGTTTTAAGAAGTATGAACTGTCTGCTATGTGAATGAAATGAAGCATGCACACTTATTTTTATTTCAGTCATTTTTCCCTGCTACTATGCATCTTTAAGTATGAACTGTCTGCTAGTCTGCTACTATACATCTTTAAGCATAATTTTTTCCCCAGCAAATTGGTGGATGACATATGGACATCAAGTGCCTAATTTGCAAAGACTAGCTATCAGGATCTTATGTTTGACTAGTAGTTCATCCGGGTGTGAAAGAAACGGGAGTACTTTTGAATGGGTTGGTATTTTATTTATTTTATTTCAATTACAATGATATGACTTCCTAAAGTTTTACACTTTTAGATCATTTATTTTAGTATCTAATAACTTATTAACGTTTAAATCTTGATTGTTAAAATGTTTCAGATTCATTCGAAGAAAAGAAACAGATTGGATGTGAAACGTTTGAACAGTCTCATTAATGTCCAATTTAATGCAAAGTTATTGAAAAGGATAAAAAAAGACATGGATGACTATATTGATCTACTAGCAAGTGATGCAAATAATGCACAAGGATGGTTGGTTGATGTTTGCGAAACAACTGAAGAAATTGATCATTCTTTCATTCAAGCTGTTGAAGGTGATGAAGTGTCACAGCCACGGAGAAGTGCTAGACTCAGAGAACTTTATGATGATGAGTTCGAATCTGATTCAGAAGAAATGAATATGGAGATTGATTTTTAGATTGGTCAAGAGGATGAAATACCATAGGGCCTGGGAACACATTGCACATGTGCTAAACTGCTGATGAAGTCTTCAATTTGTGTTGGCCTGCTCGTTTAAAGTTTAAACGGTTTTTGCTCAAGTTTAGTGTTCATTTAAACTCTACCTTTATGTTTCTGGCTTTTAGCCGTTGACAACTATGTTTAAACTCTATCATTAAGTACATTATTTAAACGGCTTTTTGTTGGCAGCTATGTTTATTTTTTGCTTTTTTGATGAGCAACTACACTGTGATGTCTATGGCTTCTTATATTATTTATTATTATATTTATAGTTTTATACCTCTTAATCTCTTATATGAATACATGCTTGAAATAAACTATTTTTGTTTTATAATTTGTACTACCAGAGTTCCAAGAATTATATTAAAAAAAATTGATTTTTCGTCGACGCCTAGTCGGCGCCTAGGCGCCCTAGGCGCTAGGCGCTGCTCCGCCGCCCGACTGGCGCCTAGCGAGTTCTTGAACATTGATCATATTATATTAGACTCGCATAGGATTTGATTATAGACACGGAAGCACAGATCATTATACTCAATTGCATGATTTGAATACTCAATAGAGGAGGTTTGATGCTCAACTAACAAAACTTACGATTTTCATATCAATGCTCATTTTTATGTTAAGTATGATCATTTGGTACTGATGTGCTCATTTTTAAAATGTCATAACAATGCATATTTCAAAAGTACCATGTTACATTATATTCGCATATTGGAATTCATAGGAATTGATTATAGATATTTTTTTATAACCCCGGAAGGCAAACCACCAAAATCGGTGGGGCATAAAAGAAAAAATAAGAAAAAGAAAGGGAATTACAATATATGAAGTTGATTTCACAATACTCATTATTTAACTCTTAATGCTCAATAGGATATGTCTGATGTTCATTAAAAGTGTATTAATGCTCATATAACGAAAACCGCGATTTTTACTGAAATTACGAAAATGTCACCGTGTTTTAGTTGTGATATCACCTTTCTTGTAATAACACGGTGCTCATTATTAGACGCTTAATACTCATTAAAATTGGACTATTGCTCACTAACAGTACACTAATGTTCATTCAGCAAAAACCGCGGTTTTCACATTAATTACAAAAATGCCACCAAATTATTTTGCTATTTTTTCCTTGGGCTTGTTACTGGGCCAGCTGTACAGTGCTCACTGTACATCCGGTTGTATAATATACGTACTCCTCAAAAAGATCAACATTGATAACAACTATCTCTAACCAACAAGCACTATCAACCATACGGCTAGACTCAGAGGCGATCACCCCTGTAAAAGCAATACGAATTGCTAACTATCAAGCGGGTGTGACACGACAATCACTGGCCAAATAGATCCTTCTAACGACATAATATCTAGCAGAATTGTCAATCATTATTGTAGACCTAAAATTAAAGACATCAACAAAAAACAGAACAACGTAAAACATAACGTGGAAATAAAACCATAAAAAATTAAATAACTGATAAATCTTCCAAAACCTAGCACCTCGATCGCTCCAAGGCGGCGGTTCAGGAGGGGGGCGGACCGCCGCTCTGTCTTCCCCTTTGCTCAACCCTTCACCTCTCATTGTCTTCTCATTGCCCGTTCCGCCTTCACTACCACCACCACCACCCTCTACCCATGTTGATTCGCTAGAAACTAACCCTTCGACCTCCTCCTCAATTGCAGGAATGAGACAACGTTGCTCTAGATCATACATAGAAGACATGATTATCGCTTATTGAACGTTGGATTCATTTCCAAAAGCTGCAGCCGCGCTCATGCCTCCTTTAAAATTGACTTGCACAAGTCGAGAAAAGAGATCAAAAAACAAAGATGAAATCTTGTCGCTGCTTCGAGATCCAATGGATAATCTGACAGTCATCTAAATCCCAAAACCAGAACCAACAATCAAAAGCACTCTAGAAGCCTGGAGAAGAAGAGCCACACAAACAATTGGTGGAAGGAAAATCCTACGCGACAACAAAGCCGCTAGAGAAACAAAACCCTACGCGACGGCTAAGCTACTAGGAAGGAGCAACTGCTGCGGAGCGAGAAACCCTCCAAAATGAGCACTTTTTAAAACCAAAATGAGCGCTTCTTATAAAAAAATAATTACACCATAGTAAAGTCCAAATAACCCGCTTATCCACCATTCCCATGGAAACTAGTCAAACTACCAGTCTACTCGATCCTATCCTCAAAGCACTTAAATAAGCACCTAAAAGAAAACATAATTGTAGATTAATATATAAATACTTCATAAATATGACTACACATTAATTTTCTACCCTTAAAATTCTAATATAATTAAGTAAGGAAAGATTGACAAAAATAATCCCAATTTTCTACCCTTAATTTTCTCAGAATAATCTCACCTTTACACAATGGAAACAATGACAAGGATAATCTCACAGTTCAATAGTCTTCTCAGAATAATCTCACTTTCATGTAATTCGAGAGTAATCTCTTCTAAATGTCTCAATAATATATCACTTACTCAATTAACTTAAATAAATGAATCAAAATGAAAACTTCCCACAACAAAATGATTATAGTTTTGAGGAAAAATAATTACAATCTTGTGTAAAAGAATGTGTTTTGTTAATATTTGACGAGCTAAATTTGGTATGATAATTGTGTCTATCTATCTTTTGGCCTATATAATTTTTCATTCTTCTTCTAAATCCTCCTCACGAATGCACAAGTCCATAATCATCTTTCTCCCTTGTATAATCTCATCAAACAAGTCATCCAGTTGCTCAGCTATGCTTTCAACCCCACATTTCAACGTCACAAAGCAATCTCTCAACCTCTGAACCTTGTCTTCATCAACTTTGATCACTTCAGAATCCGTGTCCATCTTCACTTCTCTTTCAACCTTTTCCACCGCCATTCTCAGCTGCTGGAACTCAAGAACGGCAATTCCAGGCAGCCCCATTATGTCCTGTGCCACCCTCTCCCTCAATCTTGTTGCAGAAACCATGAAAGACGGGCCGATAAGCCCCCTCGGCCTCGGGTCGGCTTCGCTGTCTAAGCAGCGGAGCAATCTAATGGTTTTGGGGCAGGAATAGACTAAGCCGGTGACCAATATTCGCAGCAGCAAAGAGGTGGCGTTCTTCATGTAATGGAGGATCTCATAAAAGCCATTACATTTTGATCTTCCCCTCACGTTTATGGTAAATCTCAACGACAGTTTCTCCAGGTTCGTCCTTATCCACATCTCGTTCCCGTTTTCGATTACATCTAGTGTCCACTTGTAGTCAAATATGTTCCTCTTGATCTGACGCAGATCGAAAAGAAAAATGGTAATGATTAAACATGGGTGCATTAAAAATATGTCCCATAAAGCAATTTGATCTTCTTCACACTCATTATTTTTAATAAATAAAATTTATATATTCAGAAATTGCATTAAAATCGCTACAAAGTCTAATCAAGAAAATTAAAATTTGATATATAAAATAAAAGATTAAGAGTGATTGAAGTTGACCAATTTGGTAAGTACTCGATTGGTCCAATCTTAGATGATTCTTTACATGGATTTTAAGAACGCGTTTGATAAAACTAAAATCGGTCGATTCTACCGAAATTTATGAAATTTTAAATGAAGTGGCTGATTATGTTGATTTATTGAAATATAATATTTAAAATATAGTCTACTAATAAAATAAAGAAAACATTATATGAAAAATATCTAAAATGGTCTTTTATCGTACTTCAGCCCAATACAATCAGAAAAGTAATTACAACATTACTTTATCTTATTACGAAGTATTACACAATTCAATCGAAAAATGCTAATAATAGGTCTGATAAGTCAGAAAAAATGGTCATCGAACGTGCTCGTAAGTCAAAACCCTAATATACTTTGTATTAGGGAGTATATTAATGATTGTGCATTAGTGTAGGTGAGAGTAAAAATTAATTATACCTGGAGCGAACGTTCTGGGTCTAAAACAGGATGACGAAGAAGCAGGGAAGAAACTAAATCATCGCCAAGAGTTTCGCCGTACTGGAAATTCGAAACGGCCTTTTTGAGCAAACGGGCGGCTTCCCACAGCCGGGAGCTCTCGTCCATGTACGCTTCCAGCCATTTGTCTCTCGCCGGCAGCCGGAGTTTGGGCAGCAGGCACGTGAACTCGCCGTGAAACGACCGGAGAGAAGACAAGACACGGCTCAGGAATTCGATCGATACCAAGTTGTAGTCAAACACGACAAACATGTCATTAAGATCGTCGATAGCCTTGACCAGGAACTTGTCGAAATCTTCCACACACTTAATCATCATTATACTCCTGGCGGTTTATTTGTTATCTCTTAAATTGAATTAAATGTTTAAATTAGCGCAGAGACAAAGGAATAAGAAGGAAATATGGAAGCAATTAAAGTACCTTGCAGCTTAAAGGTCGGCGGGTCTCGATTCATTCGGACTCACGCTCGGGTGCATATTCCTTTTTAGGAAAATTTTATGGGCCGAATTGATTTTTTGCCATATATACAATGTCTGGCCTTTTCTAAATATCGCTCCTCTTGCCATATACAATGCCTGGCCTTTTCTTCCACAAACTTTTTGGGAAAATTTCTAAAACACAAATAAAAATGTTTGAAAATTCTAAAATACAATTATCATTTTTTTATTTCAAAATTTGAAAAATACTGTCATGGTTAAAATCAGGTACTGCCAAAACATGACCGTGATAGTCCTATTTTGAGAATAAAAATATGATAGTCATATTTTGGAAAAACTGTCAAATAAACCCTCGTAGTATACTCAATTAGTCAATTATACCCTCCTACTAAAAAACACTCAATTGAGTAAAGAAACTATACAAAGAAACACAAAATGAAATAAAATAACGAGGTAGATTTTACTAAGTGTCAACTCAGCAGATGAGTGAACAAATAAGCGCCACGTAAGGTAAGGTGACCTGATTATTGGATGGTGACCTTCAAAATGGAGGAATTAATTGTTTTGTATAGTTTGTGTACTCAATTGAGCATTTTTTAGTAGGAGGACATTATTGACTAATTGAATATACAAATGTTCTTAGTTCTATTTAGGCAGATTTCTCTATCTTTTTCCTTTTTGTTTTTGAAAGGAAAACTAATCATTTTATTAATTCAACTTTTATTTTTCCAGAAAGGATACAATATAATCAGGTGGATAATAAAACTATATATAACCATCCGTCATAGAAAGTGCAACCCTAGCCAATTTGTGAGCTACTCCATTCGCGGACCTCTTGCAGTGAATGACATCAATACTAGCTTCATTGCGAAGAATATGTCTAATATCTTCAATAATCGTATCAAAGTACAACTCACCAACTCTATCCATCAAACCGGAGACAACCAACTGAGAATTAGTTTCCAATTTAATTCTAGGCCATCCCTGACTTTTTATCCATGCTAAGTTTCCCGAACACCAATGGCTTCTGAAATCCTGCAGTCCATGCCGTGGAAACTGTCTGGCAGCCGCCCTGCAAGAAGCAACCCTCTTCATTTTCTAGCCACCCAAGCACATGCTCGTTTTCCCCGCCCCAAATCCAAGGCCACATCCACATTAACTTTGATTGTGCCCACCGACGGCTTCTTCTAGCCGGTTGGCCCATCCGTCACTTTGATTCTTCCTGTAGTATCGCCTTGTGCAGCCTTCCAACTCCTAAGAACAACAACCCCAACCTCCAATACATGCTGCCATGTTACTGTTTTATGCTTCCAAACCTTGTCGTTGTGTGACTTCCAGAGACTCCACATATTAGTGATAAAGCAACCCAAATCTTCCTGTTGTAAGTTATCAAAATCAATCGGTCTTAGGGTACACATATTGTACACAATCTTCCTGTACATCATATAAAAACCTTTATTTATTTTTACCTTTCCTTTACTTTGATTTACCCCTTTCCTCCCAATCCCTTTCTCCTTTCTCTCTCTTTCCCAACCCTTTTCCCTATCTCCGAAGAAGAAGAATCGTACTCAAAAGAAGTCCCCTGAAAGCTTCTGCTCCCACACCAAACAAATCTGGGTCTGGACAATTTTCTATCTTGTTGGGCGGTCTGACCGGAACCCTCCTCATTCTCCTCCACGCGAAGCTGTCTCTTCTCTACTCACTAACCCCCACTGAACTACTCACAGATGCATATGGGGAGGAGAAGCTTGCATCTTTACCACTAGTCTTCTCAAATTTCTTGGATGTTGATGATGGGTAGTATAGAAATGACCAGAAACCCCTTTTCCTAGGGCTATTATCTTCTCCGTTCTTGTTGGTTCCCAAATAACTTAACCTGTTTCTCAAGAGTTTTATTAATGAGGTAATAATTTATTCCGATTTTTTTATTAAAAAAATTGACGATTTTTTTCTATTATAAGATATTACGTGATGTTAAGTATTGAAATTTTAGTCCAATTGCTCTATTTAATTTAATGTTCATAACATGTTTGTTAAAATGACACTTTTTATCTCTTTCTTTTGTTTATTAGTTTTACATTCTACTTTTCTAGTTTTTCAGTTTAAATTATATGTAGTAGTATATATTGATTTTTTTATTTATTAAATATTTGCTAGTTTGTTATTGAAATTTTAGTTTCTAAATTTTGTTGTGCATGAATGAACAACTATAAATATGCTATATGAAGGGGTGGAGCCAACTATTTTTTGTGTTATGCAAATGAAAATAATTTTAAATGGTGTTCATTCTCACGAATGCTTATGTCTTATTAGAGTTCTCATCGAAAATGATATGGATGGGGCTCATTTTTATATTTGCGCTACTATAAATTTAGAAATGCTTCATCATGACATAGCACGAAGACTTTACTACATGGAGAAAGAAAGATTGTTACTGAAGGAGATTGATCATTTTGTGGAATTGTTTGTAGAGGTGAAAAGTGATATAGTGCTATTTTGTAACTAGTCACATTGTAATGCAAACGTTCTTGTATTTAGAATGTACTAGTATTTAGATTTGCATTTATTATCAAAGATGTATCTTATTGTGAACTACGCATTGATAAAACAAATGATGAGAAAATTAATCTTTTTACAAGTCTAGAATGAGAGTTTCAAAGCAAAAGATATCAGATGATTTATTCTTTTTGCCACTTGAGTGTCGATTGTGCTATGAATAATTTGTCTATGACCACAAATAATGACCATCAGAACAAACTTATTTGTTAAATGGTATTGTTTGTGAACCACATATGAAATGTCTAGCCACAGACAATGGCCGCTTGATCGAACAATGATCACTTGAACAAACTAATATACTAAAGGAAAGTGTCTATGAACCTAATATGAAGTGTCTGGCCACAAACAATAGTCATTGAATTGGGCTAATGAACTATTCTACATAATGGAATTGTCTGTGAACCAGACATGAAATGTTCGGTCACATGCAATAGTCACTGGAACAAACAAATGTATTAACTGAAATTGTCTGTGAATAAGACATGAAATGTCTAGTTACAGACAATAGTCACTGAAACAAGTTAATCTGTCAAGTGAATTTATTTAAACGAGATTCTTAATTTCATGTTGAAGCGGTTGAGTTGGGAATTGTGAAAAAATTATACTTCATATTTCGAATATATTTTATTAATGATATAAAGACATAATTATATGAAAAAATAGTTCAAATAATAATCTACAATAACTTCAACCAATTCATCTAACCTCAATCTAACTGATCTCTATAATTTGTTTATTTTTCTTTTGAAGTTTGACCATTTATGATCATCAGTTAATCACCCAATTGACCATTTATTTCTAGTGACTATTGCCTGTGACAAGACATTTCATGTCCGATTCACAGACAATTTCACTTACCTTATTAGCATGTTCTAGTGGTTATTGCCTGTGACCAGATAATTCATGTATTGATTGAAGTTATTGTTGAAGTTATTGTAGAATGTTATTTCGACTATTTTTCATATAATTATTTCTTAGCACTTAGCATATTAGCCCATTAACCCATTCTAGTGACCAGACACTTCATATCAGGTTCATAGACATTTATACTTAGCACATTTGCCAATTGCAGTGGCTATTGTCTGTAAGCAGACATTTCATGTCTGACTCATAGGCAACTCTGCTTAGCACATTAGCTCATTCTGATAACTATTGCCTGTGGCAGGACACTTCATATCTGGTTCGCAGACAATATCATTTAACAAATAATAACCACTTAAATAATACTCCCTCCGTCCCCTTTTAAATGGGACGGGAGATGGTGGCACGGATTTTAAGAAAAGTGAGTTTGTGTGGTTGATATTAATTGATAAAGTAAGAATAAAGTAAGAATGATTTAGAACCACACAAAGTTTACCAAATAAGGTATGGGGCAATTAAATAGGGACATCCCAATATGGTAAAACGGGACATTTAAAAGGGGACGGAGGGAGTAGTTGTGACCAGGAAATAGTTTCATTTATACACATGTAATAGTTGTGTGAGCCTAGAATATAATTGTTTGGTTAAAATTAAATAAATTGTAGGAAATGATGGACAAGAGACCAAATGGCACCCTCATTGGCAATGTTCACAAACGATTCCATTTAGCACATTAGCCCATTTAAGTGGCTATTGTCTATGGCCGAACACTTCATGTCATGTTCACAGACAATTCTATTGAACAAATTAGTCTATTCCAGTGGCGATTGTCGGTAACCAGACAACGTCGGGTCGATACACAATATCACTTGAACATTAGTTGTCCCAACTGTCTGTGGAAAGACATTTCTTGTATAATTCACAGACAAATCCACTTGGCAAATTAGTCCATTCCAATGGCCATCGCCCGTGGCCAGACAATTCATGGTTCATAGCCAAGTCTACATAGCACATTAACATGTTCCAGTGACCCTAACCTAAGATACAATAAGCCAGAGTAAAGGGAGGAAAAACAGATTTGAAACTAAAATAATTGCTCCTAATGGCAGTCTTGATACAATATGCCTATTGAAACTAACAGAAATTGAAAGAACTCTTGAATATGTTCAATACAATATAATTGTTTTACACCGGCAACATTCCTCATATCATAAATATGATAACATTAGTTTTACACACTTCCACTAAACACACTTCATGTATTTATGGTTCCCCTCAATAACATCAATAAGGTCATCCATTATGACATCTTCACAAAATAAGAGCTCAACATTGTGAATCTTGTATTCATGTAGAATTTGAAAGCAGGGCTTCTCATCCACATGAGTTAAAGGTAGTGTGTTGTAGCATCCCGCTTGTTTTTTTCCTTTTGAAGTATACATGAGGTGGTCTCTTATTTAAACGCAGACCCACAACTTCCAAGTTCCAACTCCTTTGTTAAGATTTGTCGATGCCCTTCACTTTGTAATTACTATCATCATTCGATTTATCACATTTCTTGTCCAAACAGGTGAAGGAGGATCATGTGAAATAGTATTCCAAACCACCATAGCACAACCATCAACAAGAACATAAAGCT